AACCTTTTTTGTTAGTACAGAGGTTGAATCATACCTAAACCCTAAACTCTAAATCCTAAGCCCAAACCCTAAACCCAAAAGTCCAGAACCTAAGCGGTCCCCCCAAAAAGAGAGCCCCTCAGCATCCCGTGGGTTTCCGGCCACGGGCACTTAGTAAGTAGGTTAATCATCGGGGCTTGGAGTTCGGGGTTTAGGGTTTAGGGGTTTAAAGGGTTTAGGGCTTTAGGGATTAGGGTCTAGGGGTTTAGGGATGAGGGCTTCATTTGGGACTACTATATGGCTTGTTTGGGTTCGAAGTATACTTGCTAAGTCCCTCGGACCCTCCAAGTAGTGGGCAATTTCCTGGGGATGTCTTTGGTGGTCTGATTTCGAGGGGGGCGGGGGTGGCTTATAGGGATTAGATAAGGCTGCTAGCACTTCATGTGGGTTTGAGACAGTCATACGTGGATATCTCTAAACTCCTTAAAACACGGGTCTTTATGCTTGGGTTCCTACAATAAAAGAGAAATTACATAGATTCGTTCAGTTTGGAAACAGTAATTTCATGGCCTCAAATAGCTGAGGTACATTGGAGCCTCATTCCGTAAACACGGAACCCTAGTTGGGCCCTGTTCGCTGCTGGACATGTATCCAAAGGAGCTGAATATGTCGTAAACCCTAGGCCCGAATCCTAGCCCCCCCCCAATACACTAAACCCTCAAAATCCCGAAGCCCTGCTCTCCCTAAAATCCGAAATCCACAGAAAAGCTCAACTTCCCAAGATCCTGAACCCTGCAACCTACAACCCTACCTAGTCCGCCGATAGAATCCTGAAAGCCAGAAATCTCCCTAACCCCCAAACCCAAAGAGCTAGAACCCTAAACCCTAAACGCTACTAGACCTGAAAGCCAAAATCCATCTATACCCCTGGTCTCCTAACTTATAACACACCCAAGTGGAAGTTCCCAAAACAGGGCCCCACCATAAACCCCCAAAATAGTACGGCCCTTAGGATAAACACCACCCCCCAAAAAGGATCCCCACACCCAAAACATTTAAATAACAATCCTCAATCCCTAAACCCAAAATCTCTAAATCCCTAAGTCCTAAACCCTAAATCCCTAAACCCAAAAACCCTAAATCCCTGAATCCTAACCTTGTAAGCCTTAAACCATGCCAGGGGATGCTCCTTCAGCCAGAGAAGGCCTGGCCCACCTTTTAACTGCTGTAATAAGTTTAGTGTCGAGGATTTGGGGTTCAGGGTCTCGGGGTCGTGGCATGGAAAAGAATATGGAAACTACCACACTCTTTTTAGTTTAAGTTCAGGGTGTAGGGAAGATACCCTACCCCAAGCGAGCACGGAAGCCCACATAGGCGCCCTTTTCGAAGGACAGCAGTCTACCGGAGCCCTTTTTCAGGTTCCCTCTCAGTTTGGGGAGGGTAGTTGTGCGGTTTCCAAAAGTTAGGGTCCCCGTCTGAGCGTCCATAAAAAAATGGATTTAGGGTTTAGGGCTTGGTTCTGGTAAGGATCATATCGTATCCGGCTTTGATTTTGGGGCTCCTCTTCCTGGAAGCTAAAAATCAGTTCAAGATGAACTCTGAGGCTTACATCATTTGAGTAGTACTTCTATTTGGGGATACTATGGTACCCAATATAGAGTAAGATTATATCCTCCTTTTGGGTATAGTATTTTGGTATAGTATTTATATAAGGAATATCTTCTTACTAGGTTCAACCACCAAAGAAGCACTACTCATTTGTCCAATTAGGGGGGAAACCGAGGGCTGGGGAGTATGGAAAGGGTAGTGGAGGAAGTCACGATTTATGGGGAAAATCCCAACTGAGTGGCACTCTGGAGAACTATTTGCTACCCTTCCTTGCTTTTTCTACGGGGACCAGTGCAAATAGCTTTCGGAGCCTTCAAAGTACCACCCGTCAAATTCCACTTACATGCCTTCAAGAAATACCGTGTAAGAAGAAATCAGAAGAATGCAGCCTTACTTGATTCAGCCATCAAACCCTAAACCCAAAATCCTAAATCCTAAACCCTAAAGCCTAAAGCCCAAGCCCTAGATCCTAAACCCTGAAGCCCCAACCCCTAAATCCTAAGCCCTAAAGCCCTAAACCCCAAAGCCCTACACCCTAACAAGTTGACGTTAACAGTTCAGGGCCTTCAGGGCCTCCCGGCTGAGGGTTTGTAGGATTATTAGGTTGTAGGGCTTTGGGTTCAGGGTTTAATGGCTTCTAGGGCTTCTACAAGGGATTGTAGGGTTATTAGGTGGGCTTTAGGTTCAGGGTTTATATGGCTTGTACGGTTTCTAAAAGAGATTGTAGGGTTCATAGGATTTAGAGGGTTCAGGGCTTGTCGGGTTCAGAGTTTAGGGGTTATAGGGTGCGGGTTTCGGGTTGAAGGAAGGAAAGGTGCCTTGAAATAGTTAGCGGATCCTCAAACTGATAGAGGGTTTAGGGTTTAGGATTTAGGGTTTAGGATTTAGGGTTTAGGGTTTAGGGCTTAGGGTTTAGGGTTTAGAGACTAATTCTGCAAGATAGACCAGCACCTTGACAGTGCATGAAGGAGTACTCTTGGTACTGCCCCCCCCCCTCAGTAACAGTTGGATAATACTTATAAGGTTATATATAGCGCTTAATAGGACCCCTAATATAGACTGTTATTGGGGGGGGGCAGTACCCAAGAGTACTCCTTAGATTAACAGTAGGTTCCCCGCTCCCTCAAGTCCAAACACTCGCGCATGGTTGGCCTGTGCCAGTGAGGTATCTTGGGGACACGGAGGGGGAGGACAGAAATCCAATTTAAGAAGCGATAAGCTTATGGGAATCCAACATAAAATGAGTTATAGTCTAGACTCCTTGTAAAGGCTGGTTATATAGGGGACTATATAGCGGACTATGGTGGGGTTTATGAAGTTGGAGGATACTAGGAGTTTAGATTGTACTATAGCTCACATGAGTACCAAAGTTATAGCTCATCACAACACAAGTCGTCCAATCGTTGGACCTCCCCCTTTTGCAGCCCAACAGCATATTCCTTGTGTGGCGATCCCGAAGTATTACCACCAGAAACCCATGGCGCAGCCTCACATTCCATTCGGTGTCCTCTTTTTGTCTCCGGACCCCGTGTTCTCAAAATTATATATAAGCCCATTCCACCTAAATTGATCAGGTCCCCTAAGTTAGATCAGAAACTTCATTGCGGATGAAAGACGTACCAACTACGGAGTAGAGACTGTGGATCCAACATACAAGCAAAAAGATCAGCCAAACTCTAAAAGCCCTACTGCAATTATTCTGGGCCTGGCATTCGTATGTGAGCCATAGTCTAAACTTCTTAAAAGGGGGTTATCAAAGGGATTATATAGGGGACACTATTACACGGATTATGAAGGGGGATGCAAGGAGTTTAGACTATGGCTTACACTCCCCCAAACTAACATGGAAACCCATATAGCCCCATTTTAGAGGGACTGTAGTCTTTATAGGGCCCTTTTTGGGTTTCCATGTTAGTTCCCGGGAGTGTAGATCCGCCACATCTGTGCGAGGTCTCGCGAGCCGATTGCGCGCCTCTTTCAGGAGCCTCAGCTGCTGAAGTTTGGCGCCTGCAGGGGTAAGAGTTTCAGGCTTAAGTTTTTATTGTGCTGAGATCTTGTGACTTTTGGTCTGGGGTTTAGTGTCTAGGGTTCGGGGGCTTAAGGGTTTTAAGGTAGATGTTTTTGGCTTTGTGGGAGCTGGCTGGTGTCCCTAAACCCAAAACCCTACTGTTTGGGGCCAGCCAGTCGACGAGTCGGAGCTTTCGTGTTTCGGCGCTAAGGTTCAATATACGTGGTCCCTTCACACTAATATTAGCCGTCCCCAACCCTCATTTTTGAATATGTCCCCGCAACGCATACGGTCTCTTGTAGGAACCATGTAAGAGTGAAGGGACCATGTACAGATTTTAGCTGCGCTCTCCCAATCATATACCCACCTTCTTAAAGGACGGTGGTAAACCCAACATTTTGGTTTGGGGGAGGTTGGGGTTCGAGATGTGGGTTCACGATGTGAGGCATCAGGTTCGGGTTTAGGGTTCCCGTTCATGCGCCCCAATAGTGGCCCTCCCGCAATGCCCTTAGAATGCCCCTAAATCCTCGGGTCCCTAAAGGTTCCGTTTTGACCAAGCCCCATTTTGGGACCTGTCGTCAGATCCTAGCGCACAAGATGATCTACTTAGATTGCAGAAAATGAGGGGTTCCTGTGTTGCGGGGATCCTGCACAGAGAAATTCCACTATTTTTGTGCGAGTTGTTCATCCCAAGTGCTTGGAAACTACTTGTCCTGACGTGGAGGCAAGCTTTCAAAGGGGATCGTTGAAAAGGCAGAAGACAAAAGGGTCGAGAAGTGGAAAGCATCAAGGATTGACCCAGGTTACCCGTTTCTGCTTCCTCACCCGCCCAAATCTACAAGTTTCAAATGCAAAGTGCGCCCGGCTAAGGAAACAGAAGCGGCAGCCGACGCCTCAGATACATCCACAACCGAAGCCGGGATTAAGGGTTCCGGGTTTGGGTTAGGACCCAGGGCTAAAGTTCCATTACTGTGCCAAGGGCAGTGTTGGGAGCCTCATTCGATCAATGCTGCTGTCACCCTGTTGTAAAAATACAGCGGGAATGTTCACAGGTTTGTCAGCAGAGTCGGCGCCCCACAATCAGCAACATGCCAAGCAGCAGCAATAAGTGTGGATCCGCAAGGAGCCGAGCCCGTTGTCCCAACCCCGCATAGAAGGGCTGGCAGCGCTTGCAAACACGAAATATTGCGTGCAATAGATCCTGACAGATCCTGACAACACCTTCCAAAAGCTGATGCAATAGAGCACTGAACGGCAGAAGTCCCCAACGGAGAGAAGAACCTGCAAAGCAAGCTTTATTGCAGGTTCATCCATTCGACGTGAAGATACTGGTCTCCCTTGCGGCAAAGTTGCTCCACAGACGCCCTGCTGCTCCCTCCTTTGCTCCAGGCCCCTCAGCTTTGCCATGGGCATGCCACTTCGCACAGTGCTCATCTCGGTAGTGCTCACCCTCGCCGCCGCAGAAGACTCATACCAAGAGCCTGCAACAGCACCAGAAGCGCTTCCCCAGACCTTTTGGGATAGCTTTGTATACTGCAAATGTGGCCTGTCCTGTGCAGAGAGGGATGGTTCCATCGGCAAGGCCTGTGGTTGCCAGACATGCGTGGAGAGCAACACCACCTCCTTGCGCGGAAGCCAACCATCTGCCACAGTTGAGGTGAAAGGCACGGCTATGCCCATGGAGGCACCCAAGCCCGAACAAAAGGAGCAGACGGAGACTGGCAAGTCAGTGGCGCTGGAGAAGTCACTGGGGTATGGCTGGAACCTTCCATCCACCAGCCCGGTGTCATGCACCCCGGCGACATCATTCCGGCAATCTTTCGTTGACTAAGGTTCTTATCTTCAGAAAATGCTGTTGCATAAGCCATTTAGCTTTTCCTACATGTCCCGTGGTCCCCTGAGGCCCCTGTGGCAAGCGTTGCGCCAAGGGGCGCATCCTCGGACTGTGGAACTACTGGTGCTTCCGATACGAGTGCAGGCCTTGCTGAGCAGCCTTGCATCATCTTGAGCAACTGCAGGTCCCCTTTCTGACTGTTTGTGCCCTAGATTCCCCAGGCAAAATCTCAAATTCCAAACCCCCAAACCCCTTTGTACAGAGTTTTGGATCCATCTGCGGACCACTGCGGCCACCCGACGCAACAAGCGTAAGCTCCCAGCACCGCACTTTTGACTGACGGGTCCAGCCTTGAGAGCTTTGTTCAGCCGCGTTGCACAGTAGGGTGGTAGGATCGCGGAGGAAGTCTCCGAACTTGGGAGCAGGCAGCACAGAGCAGCCAAGACTTGTGAGCACAGTTGGCATAGTACAGCTGCTCACACAGTTGACACACCGTGACACTGCGAGGCTGTCCAGCTTGACATCTCCTCTTCGGGGAAAGCTCTGCTCCAGTTTGAAAAAGAATTGCATGCTGCACGGTGAAGGGGCTTGGAACGTTGATTACCTTTTGCCTCGTCAGACTGCCAATGTTAACAGAAGCTGCAAAGGCGCGGCCACAATTGCCGAGTCATCATTTGCATCTGCACGGTGTTCTAGCTGCACTTAATGAAGTCAATGCCTACCCTGCGTCAGGAACCAGAAGGAACATGAATTGATTCGCGTTGGAAGATAGTCGGGGCAGAGGAATGTATTGGATAAGCTGAGCGAGCTCTTGCTGCATGTGCCACTTGCGGCCACATTACCGGCTTTTCTTAGTTGGGGATGGGAGAACGGATCGCCAAAATAGTCCCTATATATATATATACAATCCCGAGAAGATTTCCGATGGACCATTGCCTTGTTCCCAACTAAAACCCGGAAGCCTAAGCTCCCTAGATCCTAGGCTTACTGGTGGTTAGTAGGGAAGATGGGAATATATTATCTAGGGATTATATCTGGATAATATTCCCTTATTCCCTACTAACAACCAGTAAGCAGGTCGTGTAGTAGTTTCTATGTTCTTGTTCGTTCCCACATGTCCCAAGGAGGCGCGGGCAAGATTACATGATGCTGCCTTGCGAACCTTTGGAAATAGCCCTAAGCCCTAAACCTGAAGCCTTGCTGCCCCCCATGTTGAGAAGGTCCCCTGCCGAGGTTGCACGCCAAACCCCTGCTCACGTATGCCAGTCGCCTCATGAATCCTTGCCAAGTAAGAATGGATGCCACAATAGTCATCTCTGGGGCTCATGAGTCTAGAATAGGCCGGGTACGGTATCCATGGACCTCCGGGTCACTACCCTCATTTTGACCCAAACTTGTTACCTGAACCCTAAACCCCAAACCTACAGAGTTCCATGATTTGTTTGAGGTGTCTTGACCTATGTAAGCCTTAACCCCTGTCAATATTCGGCTTACTGAGGAACAGGACAAGTGGAGGCGGGCGTCCCTCTTGCAGTGTAGTATGGTCTCTGACATAGTCCCTAAGAATGGACGCAAGTCCGTCAATCATATGCCGGAAATGTCCTAAACCCAAAACCCTAAACCCAAAACCCTAAACCTAAAACCCTAAGCCGTAAACCCTAAGCCCTAAACCCTAAGCCCTAAACCCTACATCCCTATCACCCCCATGAAGCTCTGCCGTCCGAGGTCTTTGAAGCCGCGGCACGACTTCCGAGCGAGGCAGCTTGCCGAGGCTCCCAGGCGCACCTTCGGCAAGAGGGTAAAAGGCTTTGGTTTTAGGGGTTGGGGGTTTAGGGTTAAGGGTTTAGGGTTTGGGGTTTAGGGTTTAGGGTTTAGGGTTAAGGGTTTAGGGTTTAGGGTTTGGGGTTTAGGGGTTGGGGTTAAGGGTTAAGGGTTTA